ACAGGCGCCCACCACAATACCAGTAGGACAACACATCAGATTAGGAGATGGAAATCCTAGTTTGAGCCCAGTTTCTGCCTGAAGGGGTAAATAAACTTGATTAAATTGCTTTACCTTTCTGAAATTTCATTTCTTCAACTGTAAACTAGAAATAAAGTGCACATATCATGAGATTCTTCTAAAGACTAAATCACACCGCACAGTGCTTGAGGATACTTTGCAAGCTATAAAGCACTTTATATGGCTGTAAAGTGGGACATAATTATAACAGAAGTGCCAGAACTTAGGATGTTTTTCTTCTGTATAACCCTTTAACATTTTCAAAACAGCTGTAGCTTGGTAAAATTACAGGATACCATACTCTTCATCATAACATTTGCAAAGTCTCTTTTTTTCTCTTACATAAGTATGAAAGGTTTGCAATAAATGTCTGAATGAAGGGATGACTGTTTGGATGGGGGAGAGGAAGGTGAGCATAGAGCGTTAAATAAAAGAGCTGTTCATGAGTTTGAATTTTTCTTTTTGTAAATTTTGTTTTTAAACATGCTGTTTGATATGAATTGTACATGTATGTTGAGGGGTGGGAATATCAAATCTGAGGACCAGAATTCATTGAACCAGTAAGCTAGTTTTTCTGCTATTTGTTTTTTCATTCAACAAAAAAACATATTGAACAACTACCACCAACTGGGCATTGTGCAAATTTCAGGGGCAGCTCAGTTGATTATGTCACTATTTTTTTGTGTGCCTATTTCTTCAGCTGCTATTTTCCCCTTAAACATTCTAAGGATTTCAGAATAAACTTGAGGCCCAGGAGCACCGAGGGCTGCAGTGTCCCAAGTCTCGTCTGGGAATTGTTTCCTGATGCATGTGTGCAGGCCTTATAGCCTCTGAGGATTGCGAAATGTGTTTCAGAAAGGACAAAGCCTCTCCACCTTTTCTCATTTTTTCCTGCTTGTCCTTGGGCCTCTTTTCTCAAGGACAGTCCATCAAAGCTGTGGGTCCAAAGGTGAAATGAGATGGGCCGGCTCTCACTCGCTCACGCTGGCAGTGAGCATCGGCTGTGCACTGCTGTGGATGGGGGTGGATGGCAGGCAGAGTGTAAGAAAGCCTCTTTCAAGGGGAAACTGGGTAAAACCTCCCTCTTAGCCGTGCTGTGCCAGCCCGGTTGGTGGTTATCTAAGTCTCCTCAGGACCTCAAGTCTGGGGAGAAACTTCTTGCTGTCATATTTCCAGGCAAAGAGGCACCTTATCTTAGAAGAAGCACTGTGTGTATTTTATATGGAGAATGGTCAAGGAAGGACCTCCATTTCCAATGCAGTCTTCTCATTGTGGGGATGATGGATCCAGCTTAAATTTTTAGGTCATTTATGGCAAAATCAAGGCTACAACTCAAGATGATTTTCTAATTCTTAGCACATGATCCTCTCTGTGTTCCATGGTGAACTGACATGTCCAAATATGTTTGTTTTATATTAATATAAGACAGTCATGAGATCATAAAGTGGGGGGAGTATGGAAAGAACATGGGCTTGGGAGTCCGAAGAACAAGGTCAAGTACCAGCACTGCTTCTTACCTGCCCATGACCTTGAGCAAGTTACCTGAACACTCTGATCCCTCATTTCCTCATGTTTTGAAGGGAGGAAAGAATTTTACCTTTTGGGGATGTTGTAAGATTAAGCAAGTGAACATTTAAAGAGCTTAGCACAGTACCCAGCCTATCGTAGATGTCTGATATTTTTGTTAGAAAGGCAGAAAGAACGCAGTTGTCTCTAGAGAGAGACAGATGGTGTTGATAACGGTGAAGGTGATGGTGGTGGTGGTGATGGTGTTGGTGATGTTGGTGACAGAGCTACCATCCATTTTTAAACATTTCCTCAATATCAGATTGGCCATCTGATGCTTTTTTTTCCTCTCATTTTATAGCAGGTCTTTCTGTCTCCAACATTTCATTCTTTTCTTATTATACCAATTCTCAGGTTCTAACCCTAAAAATAATAATGAATCTGTTAACCAAAGAAAAAACAAAGAAATATTCCCTATAAATTTCTTTTTCCCCATTTTTAACCCCCTTTCAGGATTGAATGACCCCATATGATTAACTTTTCTTGTATTTTATATGTGAGGAAACAATAAATGTGGGTTAATAAATAAATAAATGAGGGTCATTCCCGGGAATTCTTTGAATTTATTTATAACACTATGGCCCAGGAGTGGCCAACCCCTTTTCTGTCAAGAATCTCCAGATGATATATTTAAAACCCAGTATTTTGAGATGTACAGATAAGTAAACACTGCCTGCCTGGCTAGTGGGTTTTTATCTTGTAGAAAATACTGTGAGTCTCGTGGCTCAGAAGGAGCTCTTTGGGATCAGATTACCTAAAAGTGAGTCACAGGCCTGCTCCTCTCGTGGGCGGCATGCCCTGCCCAAGTCACAGCTCACGTCTTAGCTGCAGTCTCCTCGTCTGTAAAAGGAGGCTGACAATGGTGCTAATCACGTCAGGTTGCTCTTAGAGTAAATGAGGCATGTACAGAGAGAGCTCAGTTAAAATTGGCTCACAACTAAGGTTTGCTCCTGTGCACAAGCCTTTGTGCACTGAATGGGGACTGTGTCACTCGGCCCATCCAGAGAAACATAAACCCCTGTAAGTGTTTACAGCGCAGGGACATTAACACACAAAAATGTAGCGGCAGATGCTGGAGGAGCTGGTTACCTTCCCTGTGACACCAGCGAGAGATACAAAAGGGAAGCGACTAGCACCCCACAGTGGAGGGACAGAGGAGACAGGTGTGTCCCTGTAGTCTGAAGGCAGTGGACACCAGCAGTTGCTGGGGCCGTGGTGGCCTGTCAACAGAGCTGAAGTCACAAAGAGGAAGTAGCCGGAGGTGCTACCTGGGGTGTGAGGGGATTTCCTGTGGCCTCCAGCCCTCAGGTGCCCCAGCAGGGCCAGCCTTAGCTGACTTGGAGTCTGGGGATTGTGCTTTGCGGGGTCAGTCCCATGATCCTGAGCAGAACAGGGGACTTGCTCTAAATCTGCTAAGACCAATGACTCTTGCAAGCTGGAGTCTCAGATTGTGCTGCCTGCTTTCTGACTCCTGCAATAACCCACACAGAAAGTTTGGAAGAGTCTTACTTCCCCCTGCTGCTGGGCCTCAAGGACTGTGAGCTGCTGTGCCCCAGAAGGTAGAGTTTGTAAAAAGCAATGGAAGAGCCTGGAAGGCTGTTACAGAAACCTAGAAAGTAGTAAGAAGCCTGCCTGGGCATCTTGCCCACGTTCCAGAAAGGCCTGATGCTGAGTGGCTGGTGCCTTCACAGCCTGACAAGACAATCCCCCTGTGCTGTTTGCCTGGCTAACTTCTGCAGAGGTCAGGTGAGACTGAACTCATCAGGAAACCTTTCTCAGCTGCCCTCTTGGCCCCTGTGCTTCCTCCTGTCCGGTGCTGATCCCCTGCGTGGAGATGCCACCTTTCGGGTTCTCTCTGAACCGTGGCCATCCTGGGAGCAGGACCTTGTCTTCTTCCTCCTCACAGCCCCACGCTGGCATCTGTGGTAGGTGCGGAGCTGCTGAGTGCAGCTCCTCACACCTTTTATTGCAGAGAAGGAGGAAGATGGCGCGTGATGTTGCAAAATGACTTCTGTGCTGGGGAAGTCCAATGCGTGAGACCATTTCACAGCTCTGTCTGAGGAAGTAACTTCTGAGTCAGGAATAGGTAGGAGTTGGCCTGGTGGAGAGGTTGGGGAATGGCATCCGGGCAGAGGGAAGAGTAAACACAAAGGGCCTGGGGCTCACCCCTCTAATCCCAGCACTCGGGAGGCTGAGGCTGTGGGTTGCCTAAGCTCAGGAGTTTGGGACCAGCCTGAGCAAAGCAAGACCCCATCTCTACTAAAAAATAGAAAAATTAGCCAGGTGTTGTAGTGGGCACCCATTGTCCCAACTACTCGGGAGGCTGATGCAGGAGGCTTTCTTGAACCCAAGAGTTTGAGGTTGTGAGCTGTGATGCCAGGGTGATGCCTTTCTGTCTTAGAAAGATGGGGGGACTTTAAAGGGGGGAGCATCAGGTATGGGAAATGGAAGGCGGAAGGGGCATTGCGTTGTCTGATGTGGTCAGAGGAGCAGTTCTCTCCTGCGTCCCGTCTCTGCGCCCTGCCTAAGCACCTTTCACTTGCTGCCTCCTGTTATCATTCTGCATGTTGGCGGCTCCTGCATCACACCTGGTATATTGTTTTATGCATAGAAAGTGCTACTTGCATATTTGAATAAATGAAGGCCAACTCCAAGCTCTGAGCAGTCTTCCTTGCTCTGTCATCACTTTTGTGACTTCACTTGCCCAGCAGGCATCGGGGAATACAATCTATGAAGAAGCCAGTGTTTCTGCCATTAATGGGAAACTCCACTACACGGCATTCTTTCCCCAGCACTGACCCCCCTGTCACTCTTTCCTCTACACTTGGAGTTCTGTGATAAGCAGTAGAAAGGATGGGGACCTAGAGAGGCCACAAAGACTCAGTCACTAAGCAGGTCCTTTGCTTCTGCCTTTAGATTGAGCTGTGAGGTGTTAGAGCAGATGCCGTGGGGTCCTGTGCGAGTCACTCACGCTGTGCAGACCCTAGTGTCTGATGTCAGTGGTGTTAATGACAGCTCCTCGATAGTGCTCATCTAGAATGAGACCATCCATGGGAATATACAGTGTCTGCTATTTAGTGAGCTATAAAATAAGTGATGTCCGCTGCTTTCATTGTGGTAATCACAGTTACCATTGTTATTTCAACATTGGATGCTGGACAAGGAGCAGAGTAAAGCCAACCCGGACAGGTTTCCCAGCTCTCCTGTGACAGGCAAGGAGGCTCTTTTGGTTTCCGTTTGAGCCTGGCCTACACAGGGGACTCTTCTCCCGTGTTGTCGGCCATAAAAAAAAGAGGATTTTTATGTTTGTTTTTAGCTTTCTTTTTTCTAAAAAGATATTTTTTAAGGAGGATTTTTTTTTTCCTTTCTCACAGGAGTGATTGGGGCAGATGTGAGAGGGCACGGCCTCGTCTGTGAGGGACAGCCTGTGACGTCACGGCTGGCTGTCATCTGTGGAACATCTTCTTGTCACATGGGGGTGAGTCTGCCAGGCACAGAGACAAAGCTGCCCACATGGGGTGAGCTGCTGGCTCTTCCACCCCCTCCACTGCCTACCCCTCCTGCCCCTCCTGCCCCCTCCACTCTGTCTAGCAGAGGCCCCGCGCTCCCTTAGTAGCTGTGCTTACATTTGCTGCATCCTTTTTCCAGGGGCCACATTCTTAAAATGATGAGTCTGCCTTTGAGGTCACCCTGGCCAGAGAGCCCAGGCACGAGGGGTGAAATTGGACCCAGAGATGTCTAAGCCCAGTGCCCCCAGCCTGGCACACCCCTAATGGGCAGCTGGGTCTCTTCTGTAAAGGAATATCTATTTTCTTTGACCACTGAGTTCTCTCTCAATCAATATAAATCCATCTCCCTGGGAGCGTCCTGATGATCTATAGAATCAGGCTGCATATCATGACTTCAAAAGAACACTGATAAGCAATTTTCACTTTGTTAATTTTTCTCCATGAATTAGTGGGAAGGCTTTCTCCCAGATTGCAGTTAAAATTTAGTGCCTGCCCTAAAATTTATATCTTCTTTAAATGCATGAGTCTGAAAGCATTCCATTCCGATAAGTACCCATTTCTACCATATTTTTATTTAAAAGTCATTACTCTGTTAAACTTAGATGGACGACTTTTTGGATTTTTCCCAGATGAGTGAAATAGAGAGGGGTGTGGGGGAGGAGTGGAGAGATGAGCAGAGATTAGAGGAAGATATAGCCCAGGGCAGAATGAATGCAGCTAAGGAGGAAATGATATAAAGCCATTTAGTAGCTATAGGGACTCCTGAGCCTGTTTTACTGGAAGATATTATGGTTGAGTGAATATTAATACATTTACTGATTCCTGCTCTTGTGTTGGGGCTGTGTTAAACCCCGAGGATATAAGGATGGCATAGGCTCTCCCACTGATGAGCTAGATTGATCACGGGTATTACAATATACCAAGAGGCCCCCAAGTACAAATTCAAACTGAACTCCTGACCTAAGTGTCTGTTATATGCTGAGCCTACTGTGAGGTGCTCGTACATCCTGTTCCGTAAAGAGAGTGGAGCCAGCCTGATGGGTTTCCAATCATGCTTACTCTAGTCCCACAAGTATGGCCCCTAGGGCTAGGTGCTTGAACTCTCTGGGCCTCAGATTCTTTCCCTCAGAATGTGGAGATTGATAGTATCTGCCTCACAGTGTGCTGAGGATTAAATGAGGCCAGATCAAGGGTTTCACTGTGGTCAGCACAAGGATTTGCCCTTGATAACTAGCAGTGCTGTGGGGCAGGAAGGAGACCCACCCATTCACCTGGGAGGGGTCTGCAGGGAGGGGCACAGTTAGTGCTAGACTTTAAGGAATTATATTTCCTTTTGTTTGTTTCTCTGGGCTCTGCACAGATGCTTACATGGAGCCTATGTTTATAAATCTTATTTCTTCAGCTCAGCTGCCCTGTTTTCAGGCCAGCTGCCACCCAGTGGGATAGATCTACAGAGCCATGGGGCCTCTTTAAGAGGGAAGTGCCCCAACAGGGAGCCAGCCCTTGTTTTCCTTATTGGTTTGTCTTCACTGAATATGGATCTAAATTATCTCTGAGTTTTACAGGGAGGCATCTAATCTGCCTTCTCCTATGAAGTTTGAATTTCAGGCATTTTTTTATCCCACTCAAACTCAGATTTCCGAGCAGCAGCCAACCTGAATGAACCAGGTTGTGACTAAGATGCCCTACTTCTCAGCCTAACTGTCTCTGGGCGTGGGTGATGCTGGCTTGCCCTACCACATCCATTTTGCAAATTAGGAGACTAAGCCACAGAAAGCCTAGCAGTTTTCTCAAGGTCACAAAGATGTGAAAGTTCTAGAGTAAAGAATTCAAATCTAGCTCTGATTCAAGGCTTGTCCTCCTCAGTGCCTCAGAGCACATTGCATGCCAATCATGAACCCAGCAGGGATGGAGAGCGCGGCTTTTGCATCATGCCGATGCAGGTTTGAACGTCTGCTCGTGCACTTTTTGGTTGCATAGCCAGAGTGAGCTACTTAATTCCTCTGAGTCTCAGATTCTTCATCCATCAAATTGGAGATAACAGTGGCTGTCTTGCAGGGTTGTTGGGTGATGTGCATTATTTATGTATGTACCTGGCGTATAGTACACCCTCAGAAATGGTGGGAATTCTTACTAAACTTTCCTGGTAATGTAACTGGCTCACATGAAGCAACTGTTGGGACTCTGAGGAGTTTGATGGGCAGCTGCAGTTGGTTGCCATGAATGAGGACCATAAAATGCCGGTTTATTATGGTCATGTTGTGCTGGGATTAAAGCCCCCACCCTGCTTTGTACTTGGGAGTGGGAAGGGACCTTCTGGGCCAAGGGGATTAATCATCAGCTTTCATGTTGTGTCATGAGGGCGAGACTGTGGGCACGCTGGCATGGGAAAGTGCCTTTGATCTCCCTCAGGTGCTGGGGACCCAGCAACAATAACACCTTTGTGAGGTCTAGGAGAGGTGCAGGTCTAGGAAACACTCCCAGGGAGACTCAAGGGCCCCCTTTGTTGTGGTTCTGGCAAATAAAACCACTACTGTCAGGAAAAATTCACCCAACAGAACACAGGGACCTAAGCAGTCTGGGGGCTTTTCAAAAAGTGGTTTTCACCATGACCGAAAGGATTCTCTTTCTTTCTGTCTGCTCACTCACTTCTGATGTTTCCAATTCAATAGGTTAATTGAAATAAAATTCCAAAGACTATTTTGTGTTTAATCCAGGCTGCCTGTATCTAGATCATCCCAAAAGAATGAATGGATGAATGGACCAAGTGAGTACTGGCAAATATGTAGAAGCTTCCTACTTCCAGATTCCTGTTACTTTCAGGAATCTGGAGAAAAAGGATGAGGTTGAACATAAGACACACTAATAAGGCCTTTGATATTTTAGAAGATACAAGTGTGGGCTACACATTATCTTCTTTGTGGATGATTTAATTAACCAGGAAAAAAAATGATTCTTTTTTTTTAACTCCCTGAAAGCAGAGCTGCTTGTTCAGAGTTAATTACTACCAAGTCCCCAAGCCCCAGATAATACACAGCAGGGGTTAGCCAGAGGTTGAGAAGTCACCGTTCCTGCATGCCTTCTCTGGAGCTGTCAGAGTGGGTTGCAGCTTGGCAACTTGTCTCCTAGTGAGCGTCTCAGGTGGGAAGAGGACCCCGGGGAGTTGAGGTCAGGAGGAGTACCGAGAAGGTAAGGTTTGGTGCGAGCTGCGAAGCACATCTGCTCCGTAAATCACTCAAATGTAGAAATTGTGGTTCTCCATCACAGAATAGACGTGGCATCTCACAGACACAGGCTCGGGTGGTAGCCTCCCCACTCCCTGTGAATGCAGGGAAGATACTTCCACCTTCCAGTGCTGAGGCTTCCTTATCTGTTAACCGTAAGCAACAGTATTTACCCACAAAATTATGTTCAGGATTAACTGGGTAACTTTGTAAATGGCTTGGCACAAAAAGCCAATTGTGGAGTTGTTAATGATTCATTAAGGCTAGAATGATCCATGTGGTTATGGGTTAGAATTAAAGACATTAGTGTGGATTCATGTTTAGCTTAATATATATTCAGATGGATACGTGTAAAACTAGTTACGGATGTATATACATATACAAGTTAGTAAACGTATATGTATTTCCTAGCTGTGTCAACTGAGGTGGCCTGGAAACAAGAAGACCCTACAAACGAGTTGTTATAAGCACACCTAGTCTCAGATCTTGGTTTCTGACACTGTTATCTAATCAAAAGAACCAGAATGCCTTAGAGAAATGGTTGATTCTAGGATTGGGGCAGGACATATACAAGATGAGCCTGGAGTTTTCTGTAGTGCCAGAAAGTTAGGAAGTGCTTATAAAAAAAAGAGAGCGAGTGAGAATGTGTGAGGGGGAGCCCACTGAGGGAGCTCAGTGAAGCAGTTTAAGCCATGTAACAAAGTGTTATTAGAACCTAAAGTGAAACATAAATATGCATGAGTCCATACTGAAATAACTGATTAAATAAATAAAATGGATAAACAGAAGATAAAAATCCACGCATAATAATTCTAAATACTTTATGTAGCTACTCCGTCATCAGGGAAGTGGAACATAACTTTCCACTCCCAAGTGTGAGCTGCACAGAGCGACTTCTTCCTAGAGATCACAGTATGGAAAGGGGGAGAGAGTAATTTTACACTGGAGAAATATGACAACCATGACATCGGCCAGGTGAACAAGGTCATCGTCAATAGTGACAAGTCATGTCAACATCATGTACTGTTGGTATGATGTGATATGTCTTCTTTCCCCAAGCCTGTAACCCAGTGTGATCAAAAAACATCTGACAAATCTTAGTTAAGGGAAATTCTACAAAATGCCTGACTAGTGTCCCTCAGAACTGTTAAGGCCACCAAGAAACAAGGGAAGTCTGAGAAACTATCCCAGCCAAGGAAAGCCTAAAGAGATGTGACCAAAAAATGTCTTGTGGTGTCCTGAGTGGGGTCCTGGAACAGAAAAAGGACATTAGATGAAAACTAAGGATGTCTGAATAAGCGTGGACTTCAGTGTGTGGTATCAGCATCATTCGTTATTGTGACACGTGTCCTTTATGTGAAATATTAATGATAGGGAAACCACTGGATGTGGACATGTAAGAACCTTTACATTCTGAAACTATTCTAAAGTTAAGAAGCATTCATTTACTTATTCACTCATGAAGAATATTTGCAGAGACAAAATAATTGAATTTTTTAATATGTAAAATTATGCTAACTTCTACAAGTAGGCATTCTAAATAAAATTTTTAAAAGAGAAAAAAAAAATCAAAAGAAAAAACATTTCCTCATATTTGCCTGGCTACGTACAAAGAGTAAATAAGGGATTAAATGTTTTGCTTGTTTTCAAGGAGCTCAGGTACATTGAGAACGACAGACAAAAAGGGGAGTAACTGCAACACAAGGTAGCAATTCCCACAATCAGTTTGTGGCTGGAGTGTGGGG